TGTCATAAAAAAATCGGATACGAGTCAGATGGGTCAAAAAAATCAGATTTGCCTGCAGTGTGAACGTAGCCAAAGTCGTGTCCTTCAACAAGTCGGCGTTCTCACTGGTGGGGCAGAGGGAAGAGGAGAAGTTTGCATCCAGCTGGAAATTGTTCTTTATTTACATCTTATGGCTGCATCACACGCCGTACACGTCCAGGAGGGATCGCATCCYCACACTGCTGAAAGAGAAGAAAGCATGAAGAGGGAGCTTCTGTTGCAGATTAAATCAGAGCCCACTAATTAACAGATTATCTGCTCACCGGAAGAAAAAAAATGTGGTCAAAGTTCTGGGATGTCTGATATTTTGTGACTCGTGACAGCTTTTCTGCAAATCACGGTGCTGATTCTTCAGTATGTGGTGACAAACACTGAATGTTTAAAACAGTTGGTCAGTCGTGCAAAATAAAGGACTGCTGCAAATAAAAATAGATGCCACAAGAAAACAAATCTTGTAAATTTTTGGTGTGCTGAGATCAATATAGGCAGAGAATAATTCAGGAAGTTGGGTTCTGATTATTTTATCTATTTGTTTTTATTTAGGTACATGAGCTTTATAACAATTTATGAACTTGCTCTGAATCTAAAAATGCAAAAAAGCAGTTAGTCCATGAACGGCGCCCTCTGCTGGTTAAATTGTAAGAAATTCAAAAAGGTGACATGATTATAAACATACTCTTTTTATTCTGTTAGCTGTACATATATTATGTTTTACATTTAAAAAAGACAATGCAACTCATTAACTTATTCAGAAAGTTTCAGTGCTCATTTAGTTTCTTAAGCTATGAATGTAAACAGAGTAAAACAATAACTACTTTTAGCATTAATTTGATGATACTGAATACAGTGCTGGCTCTAGCCATTTTGGTGCCCTAGGTGARTTGAAGCGCAACCCCCCTCCAAAATTATGTCCCACCCACCCAAATTTAAACTCCTAAAAACAAGTTCGACAGTGAAAGGTACTATTATAAACTTGTAYGGATTGTCTAAGTTATAAGGATTTTACATCATTTTGCAGGTATACGGACATATAGGCCAATCTCACAGATTTTTTCAAGTCTTACGGATTTTTTCAAAACCTCATTTTCAAAATTATCTAACATGTAGGCCTGTAGGATGATTTAAAAAAACATAATAAATATATAATATTAAATAGCCATCTTCCAACCTGTTC